CACTGGACAGCGCTGCTCTGATTAACAGAATCTGAGAGAGAGATTATCTACCAAATATAAGGTGGGACCTTGTTTGGATTCCAATTCAAGCCAGCTATAAAAAAAATATTATTGGATTATACGGGCAGGTGCATTTGAACGCAGGGTATTTGATGATCTCAAGGAATTATTTCTTCAGGTGTGATAATGGTACTGTAGTTATATTTTTTCAAAAAAATCTGTAGAATATAAGCTAAAATATTTATGGATAAAAACCTTATTATGTCTGGGATTTGCTGTCAAATAAGCCAGACTTGGCTTTAGATGAGCCGGATTCTCCCTCTTACCTGCCTCTTGTTTTCCACAAGAACTCCAATTCCGGCCAGTAAGATGGGAGCAGGGTCCCTGGCAGAGGAGGGCTGTCCCTGTCAGACAGACCTGAGTCCTATTCCCTCCCTGGGCAAGTGACTTCATTTTCCCCCTGGGCCTCCATTTTCTCATCTGTACAACAAGGATAATGCCAATACTCCCCCACCCCCTTACAGACTGGTCATGAGCATGTGACTTAAAAATACTATCAAACTCTTAGCTCTGTGCCTGGACCCAGTAATGTGCTTCTACAAAAAGTCTGAGAGCCAAAGCTCAGATTCAGGAGACCCGTTACCATTTTTGCAGCCCCTGGAGGCACTTATCCTGGATGGGCACCATATGTCTCCACACTCTTCCTTCACAGTTTTGGCCGTATCTGAGGACTAACCTAAATCAGTCTTTTCGCTTAAATCAATTCACATTTTTACTTGAATTATTTTATGTTTACTGAGACCTTTGTACCAATAAACGTAAATGAAAACCAGTCACTTGCCAATTAAAAAAAAAATCCAAAAAAAGCAAATACCACAAAAAGAATGTTAAAATAGAAAAAATAAAAATAAAAAGGAGACCGTAATATAGAATAAGCCTAATCAATTTACAAAATGCATACGGGCACAAGAGATGACTGAAGATGGGCTTGCTTAAACATTAACTAGTAACATCAGCAATCGCTCCCAAAATTCATTAAAAGTAGAAATTTACTCACTTATTTTAAAATGCAGAATCGTGTCTAGAAATTAATAGTGAAAACATCACTTTTCACTGACATTTTTTGTCTAACCGGAGAAGCCGAGGTATTTTCATTCTTACTAGGAATTCAGAAACAAATAGTTAACCTTTAAAAACGTGACTAAAAGTAATAGAACTACATTAAGATAGGTAATTCCGACAATGTTTTGAACTGAAAGGGTATTTGAAGTCTTCAAAACTCTTCCAGCTCCACCAGGTTCCGAATACCTGAGGCGCTGCCCCCCTCCCCGGGGCCCCACCGGGCGGTTCCCCCCCTTAGCGCGCAGCCGCTCGCGGACTCCTCTCCCGCCACGCACGCGGCCCGCAGTGGCAGATAGGAGCCCGGAGGCCCACCCCCGATAGTTGTGAGAACTAGAGAAGGAAGCACGTTCCTTCGTCCTAGGGCCTCAGGGAAATAAACTACTGCGAAGAGCTTCCAGCGGACAGGCGGGCCGGGACCCAAGGGACGCCGGGCGGGGGCGGGGGTGGGTGTGGGGGGAGGTCCCGCAGGAGCTGGGGAGGGGGGTCTCCCGGGTCTGGGGATTTGTCTGGCAAGAACCTGAGAGCTCCTTAAAGGTACAAACCAACGGGGAGGGGCCTGTGGCCTCCCAACCACGTCTATAAAAGACCAGGGTCGGTCGAGTCCCCGAGACTCGCTCGGCGTCACCAGGCCGCCCAGCGCCACTTTCAGTGAACCACGCGGGAACGCTGAAGGTAGAGGGCGCAACGCGAGCGCCGGCAGTCTCCAGAAGTTTCTTAGGCGCAGTCAAAAATTAGCAAAAAATACGTTCAAGGATACAAAGAAATAAAAGACAAGGAAAAAGAAACGGCCGATTAAGCTCGCTCGGCAGAAGTATAGTCACCAGGCAAAGATCACCAGAACCAGAGTTTCTACCCAAAATGCAGACACTATACCTCTAAAAGCAGGAGACAAAACGCAGACTGGCGCTCAGGACCCGCACGCCGCACGGAGAGGAAGAAAAGGCCGCAAAGACCGAGAGTGGAGGCTCAGCGAGCGGGAACGTGGGAGGGGGGAGGAGTCAGTTCCCAACCAGTCTGGTGCAACTCAACCACGTGAAAGTACTGCTTTCATTTTTAAATGAAGCCCCTCTCCCACGGTTGCCAGGTGCCCTCACGCTATTCCTGGCAGGGGCGCTCAAGCTCTGCTACCCCTGGAGTCCCCATTAGGCCTTTCCTCCCTTCCTCGCCGCGGGCCCTACCTCCCCCAGCCCTAAATCTCAGCCCGTGGTCCAGTCCCTGAGTGTAAGGCCGTTGACCTCTGACCCCACCTCCCCCGACCCCAAATCTCAGCCCCGCCACCCTTGACCCCAGTGAACTCAGTCCCCGGTTTGTACCCCAGTAAGCGGCCTTTGACCTCAGATCCTACCTCTCCCGACCCCAACTCTCAGCCCCGCCGTCCGCAGCCCCTATGTGCCCAGTCCCCATTCGGTTTCCGTGTGTGAGGCCCCTGATTTCAGACCTAGCCTCCCCCGACTCCAAATTTCAGTCCCGCTGTCCCCACACCCAAGGGCCCAGCTCTCGGTCGGTTCCAGTTGTGCGGCCCTCGGCCTCGAACCCGCCGCCCGTCCCGCCCCTCACCTCGGGCTCCGAGCCTCCACTCTCCCGCTCTTCACATCCGGCACCTCGATCGTCCCTCTGAGCACCTAGAGGAGAGTGGAACGCGGGGAACTTGGCAGTTGTAGCTGAGGCAGTTGAGGCTTGTTTACCATCACCATGGAAACCCCTGGCAGCACGCCCTGGGCGGGGCCTCCGAGGGGCGGGGTCTGGCGCGCGGCAGGCCCGAGTGCACAACTCCCGCCCGTCGGGCGTACGCGCCGTTTACCTCAGCCTCGCTGCTCTGGGTTTGCCCGATTCCCGCTCGGCCCTGCACCCCAGCACCCAGGAGCAACAGCCCCAGGAGCAACAGCCCCGGGAGCCCGCGCCCCCGCCCCACTTCCGGCTGCCGGCGTGAGCGCCGGCCGGTTTACCCGCGGAACCCCACCTTCTTCTCCAGGAAGACGCGGCGAAGGGCTACTTCCACCACGGAGCCGGAAGGACGCAAAGAGCGTGGCGGGGCGGGGCCTCCGCGGCGGGCGTCCGGGGGCGGGACCGCGAGGGCGCCGTTGTGACGCGCATGGAGCGGAGCCAAGGATTGGTCGGCAGGGCGCGGGGCAGGGCTGGGGCCTGTGGAAGCGGGTGGTGTTGAGACTGGAGCGGCGGGACCAGGGCGAGCCCTTCTTGGGCGGGGGGAAGGGAGGGGCGTGTCTGATCAGCAGTATTTTTTTTTTAATTTTTTTTTTTTTTTAAGATTTTATTTATTTGAGAGCGAGAGACAGAGATAGCGAGTGAGAACACTGAGCGGGGAGGAGAGGGAGAAGCAGGCTCCCCACTGAGCAGGGAGCCCGATGCGGGGCTCGATTCCAGGACTCTGGGATCATGACCGGAGCCGAAGGCAGCCGCTTAACCGACTGAGCCACCCAGGCGCCCATGATAAGCAGCAGTATTGAGCTCCTGAATGTCCTGACTAGGAGAGTCCCTCCCAAAACAGTGAGCTCAAAGGACTCCCGGATTGAAGACCAACGTGAGAAGAAAATGAGGGTTATTTCCTGTCGAGGAAGAAATAGGAAGCGAAAACACGAGACAGATAAAGGCGGCTCCGATTGCAGGATTTAGGGAAGGATTAACAGGTTTACTGAGGTGGCTCCCATGATTATCACTTGGGCTAAGACCCCAGTCTCTGAAGGTGACCCAAAAGACCCAGGGAGAATGCAAGGTTTTCAGTCAGAACACCTGAGACTACAGGGTGGGTGGAAATGGCTACCCAGTGGAGATTTTCTTGATGTGTTATGGGGTTAGTAATTATTACCATTTTAATTTTTGGAGACTCTCTTCAGAGGAAGAGATGAAGGCATTCATCACAGGTTTAGCAGAGCATATTATTTCAAAATCACTGGTTATATTAAGGAAATGCTTGGAATAGTGGCAGATAATGAGTGGATGACAATAGTAGAGGAAAGAGCAGCTTGTCAGAAGAAGCTGATTCCAGAAAAGAAAAATGGGAAAAGTAAAAGCAAGAGCTTTCAAGGGAGGTGAAAATGTACAAGGAGAAAATTAAGCAAAATTACAGAAAATGAGTCCTATAAAAATCAGGTAGGTGTTCTTAAGAAAGCCCACAATGACTCCATCACAGGTCACACTGTAGAAAAGTCTGGATCTGGAGATAAAATGCAAGCATCCAATCTGAGGCAAATACTAAAATTATACCCAAAAAATAGTGCTTCAGAATTAAGGGACTGCGAAGCCAGGTCCAAGAAATACGTTCATGTAGTCCATTAAGAGAGACTCAGCCAGGGCACCTGGGTGGCTCAGTTGTTGAGCGGCTGCCTTTAGCTCAGGTCATGATCCAGGAGTCCTGGGATGGAGCCCCTCTTTGGGCTCCCTGCTCAGCGGGAAGCCTGCTTCTCCCTCCCCCACTCCCCCTGCTTGTGTTCCCTCTCTCGCTGTGTCTCTGTCAAATAAATAAATTTTTAAAATCTTAAAAAAATAAAAACAATTCACAAGTGAAGATCATCCCAAGATGTATCCTCTCAAAGAGACTGACCTGCCTTTTTATTCCCTGTTGTTTATGTAAATAGATTATCACAAATTTAATACCTTTCAACGACTATTTTTAAGTTTCAAACATGAGCTCTTCTGTGGAAGCCACTCATCTGTAACAAATGGTACAGAAGTTTGTTATTGTCTGGAGTCTATTAAAATTTTCCAGTTAATATCCCTTGAAAGAACACTTTGCCCATTAAGCTTTGCTCCCACCTTCCCCGGGAGAGTGCCAATGGGTAGGCAGGATCCCCAAGGCTCAGAGAAGGCTTTTTTATTCAAAGCCATAGTATCTGTCAGATAGCAATGAGGATAACAATAGTTTACATGTATTGTACCTTCACTGTGGTTTGTACTGGTTCTGAATACTCAATTTCATTTAACATCATAGCGATCCAGCAGTAGATGTTACTACCATCACCACTTAGTGGAAGGGAACTGAGGTACAGAGTCACAAACACCTGTAGATGGCAGGTATAAATGTTGGCACACTGAAGCACTCTGGTTCTATCGTATGCACTCATTCTTAAGTGCTGCACTCTTGAACCCAAAAGAGAGAGATCTTCCAGGCTGGCTAACAAGCCCCTTTTCTGGCTTTCTTTCCCATTGAGAGAAGTAAAGAATGAAGTAAAACAGCAAATTGAACTGTCCAACAGCAGCATTGAGCCTGTCCAAATGTAATGTTTCTCCTTGAGGCCAGGTGTTCTAGTAGGCAGAGATGAGGGATGAGATAACCCAGATGGGATGAAGGCTGGTTCAGCAGTCACAACCTCATCTGGAGAATTTTCTTGACCAATATAGAAAAATACACCTTTGTGAAGGAGGTCAGTTGTATGGTATCAGATGGTAACTAGACTTGTGATCACTTTGTAGTATATGCAAATATTGAATTATGTGATACACCGGACATGAATATGTTATATGACAATTTTATGTCAATAAAAGAAAAATGCATTTTTTTTTAAAGATTTTTTTTTGTTTATTCATTCAAGACACAGAGATACAGAGAGAGAGAACATGAGCAGGGGGAGCAGGCTCCCTGCTAAGCAGGGAGCCTGACGCGGGGCTCAATCCCAGGACCCTGGGATCATGACCTGAGCCGAAGGCAGATGCTTAACCATCTGAGCCACCCAGGCGCCCCAATAAAAGAAAAAGAAAAATGCACCTTTGAAGCAGCATGAATGCTTCAAGAAGTAAGTCATCACTCCAGGAGGCTGGACCCTTGGATTCAGTTCCTTCAGGGATTACTTTGCAGTTATTTCAAACCGCACTTTGTATTAAAAAGTCAAAGAGGAATTATGGCACCTCTCTGAGCTTAATAGTTACTTGCTTAAATGGTTTTTTTGCCTAGCAGAAGACTGCAGGTGGACTGGGTGATACTGGGCAATCCCTTGACCATTTCCTCATCAGGGCAAGCAAGAAAAAAGCCTTGGCTTGGACATTAGTGAGCTAAGGTCTCTCTGTTTTCACTCTGAGCTTTTAGCTTGATTATAAACTATGTATGAAAGATGCTTATAAACAAAACTATGTACAGTTAGATACCTTCATTTCTGTGGGGCTCAGGAGAGTCAGAAAACTTCATTTGGATCAGGATGTACATCAAGATTGACCATAAGATGTCAATTATATCTCAATAAAGAGTGGAAAGAAAAAAAGATGTGCCAGAGGCAGGGCAGCTTGCAGCTCTTCTCTGCCTCTTTTTCTCAGTAACTTCCATTAAAAAAAAAACGGAATATTTAAAATGTGCAGAAAATTACAGATACTATAAATGTAAGAAATGTTGACATTTTGATACATTGACTATTTCATTGTTTGGGGACAAAATATTACAGATAAACCAGTGCTCTGAGGTGCTTTTCAATTCTTTATTTTTCTTTTTTTAAGATTTTTTTTAATTTGAGGGGGCGTCTGGGTTGCTCAGTCGTTAAGCGTCTGCCTTCGGCTCAGGTCATGATCCCAGGCTCCTGGAATCTAGCCCCGCATCAGGCTCCCTGCTCCGCGGGAAGCCTGCTTCTCCCTCTCCCACTCCCCTTGCTTGTGTTCCTGCTCTTGCTATCTCTCTCTCTG